CAGTGGTATAGCGTGGAAGGGATAAGGTTTCTCAATAAAGTCCTCTTAGCCCTCACTACCCTCAAAGAATGGGCAGGAGCATTTTTGTTATAAAAAATTTCCTCAGCACAATTTTTCTGGTCTCATCACTGTTTTCAATTTTCTTCAAACTTCCTCAGAAAAATCTATCGGGATCACACCTTTGGAATCTTAGAAAACTGCTGCTACAACCTTCTGTCCTATCCTCTCTGCCTTGAATTTAACTGACCCAGCAGATCCCCAAGAAAGCAAGTGCTCTGATTGAACCTTGCCCTCTGGATCATATTGGTAACTCCAAGGCTCATCCCAATGAGTTCCATAAAATCGCCATTTGTTTTGATCATGTTTAAAACACCGATGGAAAGACCAACTCTTTGAGTTAGATGATCTTTGTTCAACTCTTTTGACACCTATCAAATTTAAACCTTGCTGAGGCCTAAATGTTTGCATAAAATTGAAAATGCCAAGTCACGTGAGATCCCCGCTGCAGTTAAGGCATCACTGGCCATTTTACCATGTCTTCTTCCACCAGTTTCTGTACTTGAGCCACTTTCATTCCTTGAGGTTGGTGGTCTTTCTTTACTTGGCTCATCTTTGGGGTCTTCCCAACCTTCCTTAAAACACTTGATTCATGTAAGCATTGCTGTTTTATGTGGGACTACACTCCTGCAAACCTGCTGCAGAGCTTCAGTGACTTGTAAAGATGTCTACTTCAGTGCTGTTAAAAATTTGATGCTAGACCTGACCTCAAAATAGTTTATTTCAATGGCACAAAATATATCCTTTTTGTTTGTTTTTTTGAAGGCACCCTAATACTTCTCATGCTTAGGACATGTCATCAGAAGGGACCAGTCACTGAAGAACATGCTTGATTAAGTGGAGAAAAAGCGGTAGCCTCCCAATGAGATGGATTGACACGGTGGCTGCAACAATGGTCTCAAACATAACAATTGTGAGGATGGTGTAGGACCAGGCAGTGTTTCCTTCTGTTGTGCATGTTGCTGTTGTTGTTAAGTATTGTTGAGTCAATTCCAACTCAGATCAACCCTGATAGGGTTTCTGAGAAGAGTTGGGGATTTGATCTGCCTATCTTGTGGTTCACAGTCCAGTGCTGATCTTACAGCACCACACCAGAAGTCCTCTGTTATGCATGGTGGCTGTGTGCAACTGAGTTGGTTCTGACTTACAGCAACCCTGTACAGGGTTTTGGAGGCTGTGCATCTTTATGGGAGCAGAAAGCTTCACCTTTCTCCCACAGAGTGATTGACAGATTTGAATTACTGACCTTGTGGGCAGCATCCAGGCTTGTAATCCATTACGCTACCAGGACTCCTTTCTGTTGTGCTATATGTTGGAACTGACTCTCCAGTACCCAACAACAACACATTCCATTTCAACAGACCAGAGGGACTATGTTTATGGTGTTCATCATTGTTGTTTGTACCTAACATACATAAGTTTTTGGCAACACAGGCAATTATTTGCTTATGAAATAAATGTCTGACTCAGTGTCCTTACACTTAAGATTTTGGTGTACTGCTTTTCATATTTGCTGTTTAGAATAATTTCCTCTTTAATGCTTCTGGAGTCATGACATGACCCTTTAGGAAAATAATTTATCAACATGTATCAAAGAAACAAATCAACCAAGAAACATATGTAAATAATTAAAAATATATATATAATGGAGTGTGAGGTGTGTATATGTGTACATACCGAAATGTCTAAAAAGATATAAGCCAAAATATTTCTGGTAGTTCTGGTAGGTACTTTTGGAAAGAGGGATGGCAGAAGAAAGTAGTTTTTATTTCTATTTTCTACAATATTAAATTGTTATTTTTATGTAAAAATTCAATTACAGAAAAAAAATAAACTAGTAAGTATTCATATTTTTGACACAGTCTGCAGTCCTGGTGTGGTACTGTAGGCTAATGCGTCAGACTGCAACGTCGTTTGAACTGCAAGGTCGGTGGTTCAAGCTTACCAGCTGCTCCTTGGAAAACCTATACAGGGTCGCTGTGGGTCAGAAGCGACTTGACAGCACTTAACAACAACAACATGCCACTTAATAGAAACGTCTATTGGTAAAATAGAGATGTAGCCATAGGCTTACATATAATATTACCTCTAAGTTGTTTATTATATTAAACACATGAAATATCTAAAAATAAAATATAAAAAGTATAAATATCCATCAACAGAGAAATAAAAACTAATGTGAAGTTGATTCAAATGATAGACTATATAACATACTTTAGAAGTATGTTTTGGGCAATATTTATGGACATGAAAATTGCTCCTGTTACATTCTTATGAAAACAAATAAAAGTATGAAACTATATTTATGATATTACCCCAATTTGTTTTTAAAACAAAAGTAAGAAAAAAATACAGGAGAGAAAAAAATGGTCATTTCTGGAAAATGGGATTCCATAATTTTACATAACTTCTTTATGATTTTTCTTGGCATTTCCTAATTAAACATAATCATGGTATTTTGTAATTAAAGAATTCTGAATACAGTTTTCAGGACACAAAAAGAACATGTTGATTTCTGTTACTAACAAGTATTTCTATTTAATTCTTACATCAAAACCGTTGAGTTGTTGTTGTTAAGTGCTGTCCAGTTGGTTTCAACTCATAGCGACCCTGTAAAGGGTTTCTAAGGAGTGGCTGGTGAGTTTGAACAATCACTCCTGCGGTTCAAACTGACTTGCAGTCCAGTGCATTATTAACTCATGGAAGACATATATTTACTAGTTAAGATAGTATAGGTTCCAGCTACACTAATCTCCAGCCCCCATCTTGTTTTTATGGAAAAATAGCATGCATTTAATACTCTCTGAGAATATATTTTCTTTGACTTATGTAGTATACAATGGTGATGCCATACGGAAAAAAAATGATCTGCAATTAAACATGTTTCAGGAATAATTAGGCTCTTAGTTGGAATTAGACCTTCTAGTTGTTCTTTCTTCAATACCTTTGAGTCAGAGCTTCTTGGACTAGGCTAATGGAGACAAAAGATTTACTAAATTTCTCTTTAGGCTTGGGTATACTCCCATTCTTTTAGGAAGAGTAAAACAAGCTACTTTTAGACAACTTCATTTCTAAGGAACATGTTTATTTTAAATACCTACATTGATGGTTAATTCTGGCCATTAGATCAATGAAATTTTCTACCTATCCATAAGGTCACTGTACGGAAGATCTAGTACATTTGACGTGAATGGTATGTGTTTATATATAAATATAAAGGATATTTACCAAAATGTTCACAAATCAAATCCATCACCATCAAGTCAATTTGTTGTTGTTGTTAAATGCCATTGAGTCGGTTCCGACCCATAGCGACCCTGAACAGGGTTTCCGAGGCTGTAAATCTTTATGGGAGCAGAAAGCCTCATCTTTCTCCCGCGAAGCAGCTGGTAGTTTCGAATTGCTGACCTTGAGGTTCGAGCCCGATTCGTAACCACTACGCTACCAGAGCTCCTTACCAAGTCAATTACGACTCGTATAATAACCTGTATAGGGTTTCCAGGCTGTAAATCTTTATGGGAGCAGACAACCTCATCTTTCTCATGCAGAACAACTGGTGGGGTTTGAAATGTCGACCTTGCAGTTAATAGTTCAGTGCTTATCCTACAATGCCACAAGAGCTCCTAAAATGCTCATAGCAGTCAATTAGTTCTGGGGAGTGGCAGAACAGAGCATAACGAAATAAGACATATCCCATTATCCACATATGGAAACAGATCTTATACATTATAAACATGACTTTTACATGTCTTATAAAAGAAGTTTAAGGACTCAATCAATTATGGACATCTATAATATAGGCTTTTGGAAACAGTCCAAACTCGCAATCCTTCAAACAACAACATCGAAACATGCACATAAGCAAGTGTAGGCATGTATTAACCATTTATTTGGGAGACATTTAACACTTATATAAGGAATGTGAATCCATTTCAATGGCTCTGCTTGTTTCATGACAAAACCTTTCTGAAATCAAAGTCCTACATTTGAAGCAAGTCATTTTGAATCAATTACTACTATCTCTCTCTGGAAACAGTTTAGAACAGATGTTTCATTTTAAAAAATCAATTGCTAGTTTTTTCTTTAAAACAACCATAGTTGCATCATTTACATACATAATTCATAGCATAATATGCTATGAACTCAATCCTAAAACAAAAATTTTACTGAATGGAATCAATGAACATATTTACAGAAAGAATGTAAAAGGTATCTATTTAGAAACTTCACGAATGTCCATTTAACACTCATTACAATTGTTTTTATTCATGATCTGAATCTGTCTCCTACACAATCAAGTGAATCATTATTAACTTGCAGTATAAAGATAAGCATGAAATTCTACATTGTTAATTAAATCATTAAACTCAAAGTAAAAGTTAAAATGGTCAGAGAAGCAAACTAACACTGAAATTAAATGATAAAATACTACCAGCTCTAGCTTACATTTATTTCCTATATTGTTTCCCAAGCAAATTAAACTCATTATATTCAAGAAAAAAACACCATAATGTATTTGATTGCACGTGACTGCTTGCTTACTTTTACTAATTACAGAAGCTCTATATTCTTCTGAGGTACAGACTATATCTTAGACTCAACTTGATAAACACAGTGTCACCTCGCATGTAAAGATTAACTGGGTCAGACAATAAAGTAATACTAAGAAAGTAAAATTACATGGTTTTCACTTGTTTCTTTTCTAGCACAAGTGTCCTCAAAAATTGCTATTGGCTTACAGAATAAGTGAAAGCATACTAGAATCTCAATATTCTTAACAATGATCTCCCTGGTTGCGATTTGTCTAAAAAGCCATAAGCCATATAATTTATAAAAAGAAAGTCACTGGCTGAATCCTTCAGAAAACACAACCTGGCACTCTGTCATCAATGTAAAATAATCAGGTGGCAGGAGTGTGATGGAGAAGTCAATCTTCAACAACATCATGTGAGGGAATCCAGCTGTGTTTGTATGGTCTCCAGCTATTTACAAAGACAAAAAAAAAAGGGAGGAAGCTGGTGAAGGGAGAGATATTTATATGGAGTGCATTTAGAAACATGCAAATAGAAGGGAAAGAATGGCACTGGGGACTATGCAAACTCAATTCATTCATATAGCAATAATACCACTTTGAATATTTTCCTTTTATGTGAAGATATTAGAATTCACGCTTGCAATTTATGTTTTCAAATATGTAAAGAAGCCAGTTTTCTGAATACTACTGTTTTAAATACATCCAGCTGTTTCATCTTAAATTATATTACATGGTAAGAATTCAAAAGCAGAAGAGGAAGGTAGATTGTACTGGTTTATGAAATAAGTACAAGGGGCTTCAAAAAGTTTTTGGAAAAATGGAATTGAAAGATAACAGATTTTTCATCAACTTTGTGACATCCTCTCCTATATGGAAGAAACATAAAATAGCTCAAGATAAACTTTTAAAGGCCTGGCGTCTTCCTTTCCTTGTTTCTCTTTACCCTTGGGCCCAGAAATTAAAGTATTTAATGTTGTTTGTATCTAATGTGTCAGATTGGCTAGGTATCACATAGTTCATTTTTAGTGCTTAACATTAAAGCAACAATTCTATTGCTTTAATTAAAGCCATTTCCATTTTCTTCCTGCTTTAGTTTGGCAGACTTACTTCACCTCATCTATGCTTCCTACTGTGGAACATAGGTTGTTTATAAGAAAAGTTTAAAGACCTCAGCTCCTTAATAAGGCATTTAAAAATAAGAATTTATAATATAAAATAAACATTATGAAAGACCCCCACATATCAGAAAATTACTTGAAAAATAAGCACCTTGTTATAGAAATCAAACAACTCCTTGTGACTGAATTCCATAAGAACTTTCTGCAGACTCTGCAAAGAGAAAACAAACAAGAAGTGAATCACACACATAATTTAGACTGCATTGTTTTCTCTTTAGCTACCATCAGAATATGCCATAATACTACTTTCTGAGTTATCTTTAAAAACCAGTACCTGCTCTACTCAACTTTACCATTCCTAGAACTCACAATTCACTTAACACTTTACATTAGCAAAATGTTTCAACTCTACGGGAACATATATTCTTTACGTTGACTCCACAAAGGTTAGTAAAATATATGCCAGCCAGAGAATGATTTCATTATCTATTTTTTTTCGAGACAGAGATAATACATGAGATTATATTTCATCTTTCTCAGCAGTCCATTTGAAATCTAGTAAACACCATTACACAAAGACACTGGAGGCGGCATATCTGATTGAACTCATCCAGCCATTAACGTCTCACATCAGCATAGCTACTGCCTCCAAGCATTAATCTAACAGTTATGATCTTAACATGCTGAGTTTGTTACCTTTCTTAACCTACAGACTCAGCAAAAGGTAACAATGAGCACAACAGCTTCAAAGCCAGATTTAAACACTCTACACATCCTTTCACCTCATATTCGTTACAGAAATCTTTATGGATGTTACAGGTGCTAAGTAAGCTGTATGAATGGTGGTGGTCCAATAGTTAAGTGCTCAGTTACTCACTGAAAGACTGGCAGGCTGTGTGGGAGGAAGACCTGGTGCTCCGTTCCCATAAAACTTGGCAGAGAAAACCCCATGGGGCAGTTTTACTTAGCCACAAGGGCTTAGGACAAGTTACTGATGTTAAGTACCGTCGAGTCGATTCCAACCCATAGCGACCCTGTATGGGATTTCCAAGGAGCAGCTGGTAAGCTTGAACCACTGACCTTTCAGTTCAAATGACTTTGCAGTCTGATGCATTAGCCCACAGCACCACACCAGGACTCCAACATAGTAAAGGGCAACAAAAAGGAAATTAAACCAAACCAAACTTGCTTTTTGTTGATCCTGTAAGCTGAAGAAACACCAGACTTGTTGCTGATGATAGTTAAAAACATATTCATTTTGTTCAAGGTCCCCTGGGGGTAGTGAAAGTTAATGAGGAGAGAATGCCAAGAGTATGCTACTGTTCTAGCCTAACCGCCAGTTATCATATGACATGAAATGGACACCATAAACTGAAGAAGTGGAAAGATACAACAACACAGGAATGGATCCAGGTACTTAGTTGCCTGTAGCCATTTCTATCAAACTATTGTATTTTAATTCTTAGTTTCTAATGTTCACTTATTTTGTTTGTTTGATCCATTTTTAATGATTTCCATTTTTATTTTCAAAGTCAACCTTTCCAAAGTAAGTTCTCTCTGCTAACTTCAGGACAGTCTATGGGGGCTATATTTAGGAATGGCAGCTTCCTCTTCATGGTGTTGTTGTTAAGTGCTGTTGAGTTGGTTCCGGTTCATAGTGACCCTGCATAGGGTTTCCAAGGAGTGGCTGGTGAATTTGAACCACTGACCTTGTGCAATTCAAACCGACCTTGTGGTCCAGTACATTATCCCAGGGCTCCTAAGCATATAGATTCAAACTTCACTTTTTTCTCATACTCCTACCTAACTATATAAGCTTAAAAATTAGTAAGGACAAAAACAAATAAAAATAAGTGAAGAAGTATATTTGCTTTTAAATCTCATCCCTTTAAGAATGAGATGAAATCACGGAGTTTTCAAATTGTACTGGGAAAATTAGTTAGCTAACTGTATCATTAAATCTTCAAAGGTTTGACCAGTGTTATCTAGTAATACTATACTTCTTACCAACAGTTAAAGTGGATGATAAACTGAAACCAAATCTACTGCCACAAAGTCGATTCCAACACTATAGAGGGTTCAGACCCTATATAGGGTTTCTGAGACTAAATTTTTAAGGGAGCAGAGAGCCTCATCTTTCTTATGGGTTTGAACTGCTGATCTTGAGGTTAGCAGCCCAATGTTTATCCCACAGCTTCACCTTAAAGGGAGTGAATCAGTAATGTATGCTGAAAATTGTTTTCCATTTAAAATGACTCTGTACACAACAGTTAGCAAGAAGAAAGACAGTAGAATGTAGACTGAGCGTAGTTGTAGTCAGGTAGATTTGGGTGCAAATCTTAGCTGTCTCACTTTCCTGAAAGAGGCTGGTGGTGTTGTTAGGTACCATCAAGTCAGTTTGAACTCAGAGTGACCTTAGGCACAATAGAATGAAATACTGTCCTGCCCTGCGCTATTGTAACAATCATTACACTTGAGCCCAATGCAGCTGCCACTGTGCCAGTCCATCTTGTTGGAGATTTTCTCTTTGTTGATGACCTTCCACTTTCCCAACCATGATATCCTTTTCCAGGGTCTGGTCCCTCTTAATAACATGCACCATCCTGACTTCTAAGGAGCATTTTGGCTCTACTTCTTCCAACACAGGGTTTGTTTGTTCTTTGGCAGTCCATAGTATTTTCAATATTCTTCTCCAACACTACAAACCAAATGTATCAATTCTTCTCTGGGCTTCCTTATTCACTGTGCAGCTTTCACATGCATATGAAGTTATTGAAGACACCGTGGCTTTAGTCAGACACACCTTGGTCCTCAAATTGATATCTGTGCCCTTGAACACTTTATAGAGGTCTTGTGCATATTTTCTTCATGTAGTATGTCATTTGATTTCTTGACTGCTGCTTCCATGAGTGTGGATTGACAACTTCAATCTTTTATCCTCCATTTAGTGGTGATGATTATATAGATGCTGTGGAGTTGGTTCCAATTCATAGCGACCCTGCATAGGATTTCCAAGACTGTAAATCTTTATGGGAGCAGAAAGTCTCATCTTTCTCCTGTGGATTGTTATTTAATGGTCCATTTGTGAGGATTTTTGTTTAAAGTGAGGAGCAATCCATACTAAAGGCTGTGGTCTTTGAACTTTATCAATAAACATTTTAAGTCATCTTTGCTTCGAGCAACCAAGTTTATATCATCTGCATATTGTTTATACACAGGTTGTTAATAAGTCTTTCTCCAACTCTTCAGTTCTTTCAGCTTGAGAAATGCTGAGCATATTCTTCTCTTTTGGTTTTCTAACTCTAGGTCATTGCACACCTCATTATAATACTTCACTGTCTTCTTGAGCTGCCCTTTGAAATTTCATGTTCAGCTCTTTTACATCCACGTTTCTTCCATTCATTTTAACATGTCTATGCTGGAAAGCACGTTTCAGAGTCTCTTCTGACATCCATTTTGGTCTTTTCTTTCTTTCCTGTCTTTTTAATGACCTCTTGCTTTCTTTCTGTACGGTTTTCTTGATGTCATCCTACAGTTCTTCTGGTCTTCAGTCATTAGTGTCTAGTACATTAAATCTGTTCTTGTGATGTTCTCTAAATTCAGGTGGGATATGTTCAAGGTCAGACTAGTTTTACTTTTCTTTAGCTTCAGCCTGAACTTGTATATGACAAACTGATGATTTGTTCCAAAGTCTGCCTCTGGCCTTCTTTTGGCTGATGATATTGAATTTTTCCACTGATTCTTCCCATAGATGTAGTTAATTTGATTCTTGTATAGCCCATCTGGTGAGGTCCATGTGTATACGTGTCTTTTATGTTGTTGAAAATGGAATTATTTTTATCACCTAGGTCATATTTTCCAACTACTGATCCTCTTTGTTTCCAACCTTCACATTCCAATTACCAGTAATTATCAATACATCTTGATTATATGTTTGATCAATTTCAAACTGAAGAAGTTGGTAGAATTCTTCAATTTCATCATGACTGACTTTACTGGTAAGTACATAAATTTGGATACTAGTGGTATTAACTGGCCATTTTTGGAGGCATATGGGTATTATCCTATCAAAGTCAACATTGTACTTCAAAACAGATCTGGAAATGCTGGTTTTGATGATGAATGCTATGCCATTCCTCTTGAATGTGTCATTCCCAATATATGCTTGTCAGATTCAAAATGGCTAATACCAGTCCATTTCAGGTAACTAATACCTACGAGTCCTGCGCTGTATGATAAGCACTGGACCACAAGGTAGGTTTGAACTGCAAGGTCAGCAGTTGAAACTCACCAGTCACTCCTTGGAAACCCTATACAGGGTTGCTTAGGGTCAGAACCAATGCAGCCGCACTTAACAACAATGCTGAAGATATTGATCTTTATGCGCTCCATTTTTGACAACTTCCAATTTGCCTAGATTCATAGCTAATACATTCCATGCTCTGATTATTAATGAATGCTGTTTCTTCTCAATTTGAGTTGTATCCCATTAGCAAATGAAAGTCCCGAAATGAGAGTGATTATATAATATCCATAAACCTTGTATTGCATTTGTAAAATGGCTTCTTTAATGAAATTGTTATAAGAAATTAATGAAATAACATGTGTGACACATTTAGCATTCAAGGGTCAGAGAGAAATAGGAAGACCCCAACAAGATGGACTGATACAATCATAGTAACAATGGGCACAGACAATTGTGAGATTGGCACAGGATCGGGTGGTGTTTCATTCTGTTGTGCATCGGGTCATTATGAATTGGTACTGACTGGATGGCATGTAGCAACAACAACATCTAGTATGTCTGCAACTTCTCAGTAATTGCTAGTCAGAGTTATAACAGTATCCACTTGGATTCACCAAGAGATGATGGTTGGTTCTGTTGCTTCCTGGAAGCACCGTCAAAAGTCTGCTGACTTTTGACCTCACTGGTAAAGTTTGTAGTACACTTTACCAGCTGTTCTGTAGGAGAAAGATGAGGCTTTCTGCTCTCATAAAGATTTACAGACTTGGAAACCCTGTACAGGGTTGCTATGAGTCAGAACCGCCTCTACGGCACATAGCAACAACATACCTTGTATTATGACTTTCTTTGTTTTAAGAATAACAACACACAATGAAACGATATATGATAGGATGAATGTAAAGCTAATGTTCTCCCATGTAAACTATCACATAACTCACAGTAAAAAATTAAAAAAAAAAAGAGTG